TCAATAGCCTATTTCAGTTCCTAAAATATAAGTAGCATATATAAAATTAAAGAACAGTGAATTATTGCAGAATGTCAGTCTATCTCTCAGTTGCAAAATCTTTTATAACAACTTTTATAATAAAATGCTCTTCATATGTACAAACCTTAAAAAAAGTCATGTATAATTGGTGAGGTATGATTCAGTGAACTATTACGATTTCGGCAAAATTTCGTGCTGAGTTGAACATGAAGACGGCCAAAAATAGCCGACCGGTATTTCCAATGTTACGTGAAAATGGCGTCCGACTCGTCGAATTTTTATTTGCTCGTCGATTTCTGATCTCGAACAGAACGATTTCGCGTACTGTCTCGTGCCCAGTTCTTCTCCCACACGGCCACAAAGTACCGACGTAACAAAGTTCCGAGCTACTAGAGCCGGAGATTAATGTCCCACGTTCGTCGCGGCGGCGTTTCCAGTTGCGGCCAATTGGTAGCCGGTATTACACAGGCGAGACGACGACAACGACGACGGCCGGCCAGCCGCTATCGCTGAATCGCTTGCGTAACGACGTTAAATCATTGCGATCGAATGCACGCACGACAGACGGAAAAAGTGCGAGAGGGCGCGAAGAATAAAACACGTCGCAGAGAGAGAATGACTCGAGGGGAGACGCTGCATAATTCCAGCCGTTCCGCCGCGTAGGAGAGCTCCACGATAAATCCCGATCTCGTTCTCTGCCGAGACGGAAGTGCAACCCACGTGTGTGCATGCATGTATGTATGTATGAACGTACATATGAACGTACGTACGTCCGTCCATCCGTCCGTTGCAACGATTTGAGCCGCTTCGACTGCACTCGTGGCGATTTAACGCGCGATATATTGTCTCTACGTGTTATTCTGTTACGCGAATACTTCTCGGCGAGGTGCGCTTGTGCTGATAAATACGCTATACACGTGAAATCTCTATTGATCCATGTCGAAATACAAAATTGAAAGGATCTCTCTCTCTCTCTCTCTCTCTCTCTCTCTCTCTGTCTCTCTCTCTCTCTTTCTCTGGGGACGTTTGTGAATTCGACCATTTGGAAGAGATAATTTTTCTCATTGAGCGTGAGAATGAATTTTTCCGATGTTTTGCTTGAACATTTCGATTCAAGCACTCGGTGTCGGCCGATTGTGGATATAACCGGTAAAAATTCGGCGATTTCTATGATTTTTCCAGCTCCTTTTCACATGAGAGAGAAATGAAAAATACTATATATAGATACTATATAATAGGTCTCTGTTCGAAATCGATATCGAAACGCAGAATAGAAAGGACCTCTCTCAAGGCGTGTTCGCGAATTTGCCGTGCGGAGGAAATAATTTTCCTCGTTGAGTTAACGAATTTTTCCGTTGCTCTTTGTCAGGACATTTTAACAATCAAGCACTCTTGTTAGTCGATCAACATAGGTTTAATTGGCAATCGGTGGTTTCTCATTTCTCCCTCTCAATGAGAGAGTGAGAGTGAGTTTCAGCTCCCTCTCAGTGAGAGAGTGAGAGAGAGGCAGAGAGAAAGAGAGGAAAATAGAGAGAGAGAGAGAGAGAGAGAGAGAGAGAGAGAGAGAGAGAGAGAGAGAGAGAGAGAGAACAGGGAGAGAGAGAGGTCGGCGAGGAAGACGGAGAACTTGATTAAAGTACGCGTACACATACGCATACCCGACTCTTTGTGCAACAGTAAT